CCCCCCCCCCAAAAGATCCTTCATGACCATTTGTAGTTAATTGCCATTCCCACCCAGCCCAGGCAACACAGATCTGCTTTCTGTTTCTATAGATTTGCCTCTTCTGGACACTTCATAGAAATGGAATCATACCATAGATTGTCTTTTGTGTCTGGCTTCTTTCACTTAGTGCTTTTGAGGTACATCCGTGTTGTAGCAAATTCCAGGAGTACCTTCCTTTAGATTGGCGAATAACATTCTACTGTGCGGACAGACCACATTTTATTTATTCGCTCACCTCTGTAGTCGGTAGACTTTAAACACAAAGAGTCACTTGTGAACCGCCTCAGATCATCTCATGTGCCATCGGTGGTATAGGAGCCATGCTTTGGAAACACGCAACCCAAACCACGGCCCCTGGCCTGTTCGCTACGGCTTTTGGTTTCCCTTTGGTCCAACCAGCTCTGAGCTCTTCACCGTGAAATGTGGTTGCCGAAACTGTAACGCCAACAAGGTTGTCAAGCATTGATTTGGAAACCAAAACAAACATCTCTGCCCTGTCACCACCCAGTGCCACCAAAATATCCTGTTCTGAGTTTGCAAGCTGGGGGCTTTTCCCTGGACATTCCTGCTGAATCTATCTGAACTTTAAACACGTGGGGGTTTTTCTGCATCACGTCCAGGAGACCCAGATTCCAGGTCTGGCTCCGCTACTAGGTGCTGTGTGACCTCGGGCCAATCGCCGCCCTCTCTGAGCCTTAGGCCCTCCACCTTTACAGGAGGGGGTTTCCCTTCTAATTCACTCTACACTCTGGTCTGTGACTCCAAGGGGTCCGGGTCAGGGCCCTTCCTGCCTCATGGGATGGCAGTCTGGGCCTCCCCCTCTCCTGCCCCAGGCCCAGTGTGGTTTGGAACTGTCTGGTTTCCTTCCCTCCCTGCTGCAGGTCGCTAAGTGTCTGTGCCTCTGACTCAAGTCAGCATGAGGGGCTTGGTTTGTTTTAACCTGGTGTTTGGGTGATCGGAGCTTCCCTTGAGAGTCAGGAAGGGACCACAATGATGATCATTGGATCCTGATGGTTCCCACATGGGCCCTCTGGATCCCCGGAGCCTTGGGGCAATTCTGGGGACAGTGAGCAGGGGTGCCGAGCACCTGGGGTTTGGCTTTCATCAACCACAGATGCTCCATTTCCGTGACTGTCATATTGATCTTCTGAGGAGGATTCAATTGGAAAACAGGGCTCTACGGCTTAGAAAAAACAAAAAAGAGAAATTGCTGATTCAGCTGAGTTACTTTCATTTTTGAGGTGGGGAAACTGAGGCCCAGAGGGAGCTGACCCACAAAGCTGAGTTGGGAAGCCTGCTGTCCAAAGCTTTCCCCACCACGCTGAGGTGATGCCCACATCATCTGCCCGTGGTTGGGTGTTGGGAGAGTTCTCTCCACCTTTCTGTGTCTGCCGTTAGGCATTTTTTAAAAAGCTACTTTCAGGGATGGGAGGGACTTTTGTCACAGCTATTTCTGATCATGAGCCGGAAGGGGCTGGGCTGGGGGCCTGAATGAAGGGCTCCAAGCAGGGCTGGTGGGTGAGCCAGCTGGAGTGTCCCCTGCCTTTTCCCATCACGCCCTGGAAGGCCCTTGAGCAGGTGTTTGCTGGCCCTTGAGTGCCCCAAAGCCAGAAGACTGCCCCGGAAAGCTGGTTGGAAGGTTTCGTTCCCTGCCACTTCTGTTATTTCTGAAGCTTCTGTTATTTCTGTTATTTCTGAAGCTGCCACCGATCCTTTATTTCTGGTTTTTCCGGGAGGCAGCCTGGGATGGTGGAAAGAAGGTTGAAATCCCAGCTCTGCCACTTTCTGTGTGACTGTGGGCAATTGCTTAACCTCTCTGAGCTGCCTGAGCCACCGCTTTCTGTGAAAGAGGGGGAGTAATGTTGCTCCCCTAGGAATCGGGGAGGAATAAATGAGCCCCGGTGACAAGGCACCTGGGGCTCGGTAGGTTCCGGGTTGGTCCCCTCTCTGACCTCCCGCAATGTCTGTTCCCTTCATTTCACAGGGCTTTCCCGGCACAATGCTGGACCGCCCAGCACACCCATTTCAGGACGCGTCGCAGCTCTCTGTCCCGTGGAAGGCG